GGATTCGTTGCGCTGACCACTCAACACCCTCTATCCGCTAAAGTTTGCACTAACTTCGCCGACAAGCGGCGATCGCTCGGTCGGTATAGTTCGCTTGCGGACTAAAAAACCACGGAGTTTGTTTGTTTTTTGTTTTATTGTTTATATTATATATTATAACAATTCTTCTTTACATACGACATGACTTGTGTAGACAAGTCCTGTATGTTCAATGAGGCTGCGGCAGCCCTTTTTCAGTTCTTACCGCTTCTTGCAAACAGAACCTGACACTCCTCTAAGGACGACGCAACCATCTACGTCACGGTCTGATAACGACACACCCGCAGAGATGTCATCTTACTGGCTGTACTCCTCCGAGCGACAGAATCGTGGATGTGTAGCCTATGGCCAGCTACCTCAGTGGCTCGCACTGACATGCACTACTTTGTAACCGATATTACTGTACCAGCAATCATACCGAAGGAGCTCGCTTCTTTTCTCACGCGGTGACACCCCACAAAACTATTCAAATAAGTAGATACACAGCGCGCTCTAAGCTTGCGATTGTTACATACAGTCATTATTTTATTAAGAAAACAGCTGTGGGGTGTATGGACCGGCAATCTGCCATACTGGGGGGCCAACACCGCTTGAAGCTTTGTGAAATGGGGGCGGAGTCCTTCACACGAAATTCTATAGCAGGCCCAGGGAGCGCAATGCCTGGATAAGGGGTTGTATTATAGTGTGATGCTTTGATCAACTGTGGAAAAGAAATTTTAAGGGGTGAATTTCAAACAAAACAAGTTGGTGTGTGTAGATTATAGTCGATTCTTAAGTCATTGCATATAAAAGTCCTTCGTTTATGGGATGAAAAGTTTTGTTTAAAAAAATGTATAACCTAACCTACAGATAAAGGTAACCTGGGCTTAATTAATTAAGCAACAAGCCTGGAATGGAAATAGAAGTACAGATCCAGCACTTCTTAAAGATCGGTACTATGGGTAGTTGAATGTTGAGCATCACGCCTCGGCTGCCTCTAAAAATTTAACAGTATCCGCCCAATTACATTTAGGTCTCCCAAGTGAGCATTTTCTGATTACGTCTCATTATAAATTTCTTATTTTCCTGCTGCATGCCCAGCCAATCTTATCATCTTACATTTAAACTAAAATTATAGTACATAGCTTGCGTCTTAAAATATTTATGACACAAGATATTAGAGCCCTAATATAAACTCCGCCAGTGTCACTTAATTGCGTACTTATGGAGCTGAGCCCCTCTTGACAAGCCAAATCTGCAGCTACTCAAGAATTTCCCAGCATTTTATGGAACCCGAAGGTTCATTACCGTGTTCATAAGAGCCCTCCACTGGTCCCTATCCTGAGCCAGATCAATCCAATCCATACCATCCCATCCTATCTGTCTAAGATCCATTTTAATATTGTCCACCCACCTACTCTTTAGTCTTCCCAGTGGTCTCTTTCCTCCTGGCTTTCCCACTAATATCCTATATGCATTCCTCTTATCCCCCAGTCGTGCTACATGCCCTGCCCACATCATCTTCCTTGACTTGATCATTCTAATTATACGTGGAGAAGAGTATAAGTTATGAAGCCCCTCATTATGCATTTTTCTCCAACCTCATGTCACTTCATCCCTCTTCGGTCCAAATATTCTCCTTAACACCCTGTTCTCAAACACCCTCAGTCTACGTGTATGTTCCTCCCTTAATGTCAGAGACCATGATTCACAACCATACAGAACCATAGGCAAAATTCTAGTTTTGTACTCGTATATTCTAATTTTTATGTTTTTGGATCACCAGTGTCACTACATTTCAATAATATCACACACAGCCTCCATGTTATCAGTGCTGATAACAGGGAATTTAAAGATAGAAAAGCTGAGTTGGTCTATAGTAACAGCAAGTTGAAATCACTCAACTCGTTCAAATGGTTGCCCCTGGTTTTATCCGCGAGGCGTGTATTGAGATGTGCCACTGGGGCATGTTTTATTTTCCGAGAATTTCGGTTTTCCCTTGCCAATTATCATGATATTAATGCCCCATACTCATCTATCATCTGAGGCTAGTACAATAGGCCCATTTTGCGGCAGCAATAGCCTCCCAAGGGACGCAGTTCCACCACATTCCAAGAACAAAAACAATATAAAAGTCCCTTGGATAGGTTATCCCGCTCTCGCAGGAATGCCAGAAATCAGATGTAGCGCAAATGCAGTTTCTGGGAGCACAATTAGGCTTCGCCACGTCACTCCACGGAAGAAGCATTCAGAGTTAGAAGCATAGCTGGAGAGATTCAAGGGTACCAACAAAACTGGAAATGAAGCATGTGCATCAGCACTCTGTTACCGAGAACGGGGGCGAAGAGAACTAGATAGACCAAAACGACGATGCAGAAGACTGAGGCCATCTTAAGATTCATAGGGACATACCTAACACTTTCAGACACTGAGCACATAATCATGTGGCCAGGATGGCAAAGATAAACAGGACGGAGAAAGCGAAGGAGAGAAAGAGTTTGAAGAGCAAAAGGAAGAGGAAATAGAAAATATTTCAAGAAAATTCCCGCTATTATTTTTAATCTGTGACATCATTCACTTATTTTTCAAGAGTTGGATAAGTTCCATTCGATCTTCGTGTGGGCCTATAATTCAAAGTGCAGAATTAAATTCAGCCAACAATTCTTACTATAAGAAACCTTAACGAATAACTAATTCAATAAATCCTGCTTTTGGACACAGTTCATCCATCATCATATCCTCATAGCGTAAGAAGGTTTTCCTGAGATCCATTTTAAGTTCTGATCCTACGCCTTTAAATTTGTTAATTGTCGAGTCGATGTTGACCCTACTTTTTGATGTTGCATGGTGTGGATTTGGGAAATATTTACGACGTTTCGGAGATGCCTGTTGCTTCCGTGTTCGGAACCGAAATGTGTAGGGGTGAATGAGTTTTCATATATACTCGTACACAACAGATCCACAGGAGAAAGTATGAGGATTGTTGCCCACTCGGGGTCAACAGGGACTGTCCGTGTTGGCGCCGATTAGACATAACCTCTACCCTTCCTCCCGTGGATCTGCTCACTGAACCTACACATTTCGATCCTGAATGTGCAGACGGCATATACTTCCGAAACGACGGAAATATTGCTCACATCCACACGGTGCAAAATAAAAAAGCAAAATCAACGTCCATTTTAATGTTACCCTTCCATCTTCTCCTTGGTCTTCCAAGTGTTATTTTTACTAGCGGTCTCTTCAGAACACGTGCTTGCGTGTGTATTGTCTCCCAAGGAGCCTGATACCCAACCAATCTTTGTCTCCTAGTTCTATACATTTTACAGAATGTCTCAGGACGAAAGTTCACAATATTATGGGAGGTCATATTATCAGTCATTCTAAGCAAGAAAGTGTATATGAACATGTGTCCTGTACCGAACGGTTTCCGAGCCATTTCACTGTGCAGACGAGCAACACGCCATGTCCTCACACGAATTGCCAAGTGCATTGATGTTGACGGTGGAAGTTTCGAAAATGTATTACACTAGGTAAACTGTACAGACTTTGTCACTTGGACAATAAATACCGGCATTAAAACCGAAATTAACTGCCGTGAGAACTCCTTGCGCTGATCACGAGACACCCTCTATCCGCTAAAGTTGGCACTAACTTCGCCGACAAACGGCGGTCGCTCGGTCGGTATAGTTCGCTTGCGGACTACAGGCCACGGAGTTCTTTTGCTAGAAACAGTACGCAATATCTCTGTCGTATCAACAATTTTTTAACTGTACAGTGAAATAGCTCTCACTTGGAAACCGTTCGGAATAGGACACACGTACGTATAATTTTTTGATTAGAATGACCGATACACTGACCTCCCAGAATAATAAACATTCCTTCTGGGACTCTTTGTATATCCTGCACATACCAAGAAATACCTCTTCATATCATAAAAAAAATTCGAATTTTTGCATTAAATTTATTCGGAATCCATTATTGGCTCGAAAGTTCAACCGTGCGGAAGGATACACGTGTCCTTCGTACTTCCTGCACTCAGACGAACCGTAAATATATCGTGACCGTGGACACCACTAATTGGACGTATCGGCGTGGCCAGGGCGCCATTACATGCAAGCCCACTCAGCGGCAACAAGGAACAGCGGGTAAGTGAAGATGCTCCATTTAGGGAGGGGATGCGCACACATTTAACATAACAACCCCCATTAAAAAGAAGTGGGTTGGGTTTAAGCTACCCCCAACCCCTCTCTTCATAAGGGAGGAACTGGAATCGCCGAGTTCCCAACCACCCTTGTAGAAAGGAAATATTATCGATCCCTTGTAGCTCCGCTTCCTCCCTGATTGGTGGCTTTTTTGATACGATCCTTCGAGTCTCGTCCAATCAGTTGTCAGTGGTACCATCCGACGAAACACCTAAATCTCACGCCATTCTCACCCTTATCGTCTTGTCGGCATCGTATTATCTTAAAGCTCATTTTCGCTTGTAATGACAGAAGCTCTGAGTTCCCACCGACCTGTTATCTCGTCCAACCAATCCTTGAATGGCGGAGAAGGTTTTGTGGTATTCTTGTCAATATAGTTTTAAGCATGGTTGACACTTCTATTTTCTGTGTAATTATCTTATTTACTAGCGGGTAGAGAAGGGGAGATGAAAGAGAGGGATGAAGGAGTGATGAAGGGTAAGAAAAGAAGAAGCGGGGATGTTATGCAGTATAGAGTTGGTAAAAGTTAAGGGTGGGACAGTTAAAATATTGCAGTTCCCTCCGGCTGTTCACTGGCCGGACAAGGGGGTTGTTTCTAAGGGATGTTATGTTCAGTCGTTGGCTTGGTTGTGTTCTACACAGACGCTATATAGAAGCGTGTGTCGGCGTACAGACAGACAGACGGATTTATCCAAGTTGCGTTTTCTCATGCTGTGAATTGTGAAATGCTTTAAGCAGCGCGGAAACAAGTTATATAGAAGAAGAAGAAGAAGAAGAAGAAAAAATGTTATATTACTTCCGGTAAGTGACGTCAAGTAACCAATCGAAACAACCGTTAAACGGAAATGAAATGAAAAAAAATTCTGTGTGGAAATTTTTATTGAAGAAGACCATGTGTCTGTAACCTGTTTATCACGGAAACGAGTTCCTAAAATAAGCCAAAATACTTGTTGTCCACATAAAAAAAACAGTGCATATGTTGTGGTTTAGTGTTAATGGAGACAAATGCAGTGACTTTCGGTGACTTAAAATACAAATTAATTACAATTAAACCGATTTCGTTTGTCATAGCATGCATTACCGGGATTCTTGTAGTATTTTAAATGCCGGTATAAAATTTACGTGTTACCTAAACTCTGGGTTAAAAGTCAAGAGAAAAACTATAGGCCGTGTAAGCAAAATGGTTACAAAGAGAGAAGAGACAGTCGAAGGGCAGAGCTTATTAACCGAAACCATTCTGGAACGTCGTACATTTCAAATTTGGTAGATTTCCACTGTAACATTCGCTACTTTTAATTTACACGAGGACACAAAATGGACTGAAATTTATCATAAAAGAAAAATCGTAAAAGTAATGGCCGTAAAAGACACTGAAGAATGAGTGAGCAGCGGGAAATAGAAGTATCAGTGGTTAGTACTCCTGAAACAAGCCAATGCTCATCGACAATGGGATCACCGGGGCCATCACCACATCATCATATCACCACCTCGACAACAGGTACTACAGGCCCGGTATCCTTCCACCCAATCAGCCGGACACCAGCCTCACCTCCGGCAAGTCCCAACAGGAAGTCCCCGTCGGGTCCGAGAGCAGGGTCGCCTTCCTCCAGCGTCCAAGCAAAGGCTTCATCACCCCTGTACACATCGTTCTCAATATCCAGTATACTGAGCAGGACTGAGCCGGCTAAGAAACTGACCGCTTCCCTGGGTCCCCTGCAGCAAATCCCGGCCCAACATCCGAGCGTTGTGGAAGCGGCTGCTGCAACCCTGCATCCCTGTGCGGACACCGCCATGCTGTCCAGGTAAGAGCCCGTCTCCTCAGCACCAGTCAGTTTGGAAATCATTATTTCTTCTCGACGCTAAAGGGGAATGGCTAGTACTATAGGCTGCCTGAAGAATCTCTGTTCCGCAACATCTCCAGTGTGCCTATGCCGCTTCGGGCTCCCTTCCTTATATCTTAAATTGAATTCAGTAATTTTCTAACGGCAGTGTAACCGCCTGCATCCCAATCGCAAGACGGTTTCACCTCAGAGATACAGTACAGACGTTGAAGCCAAAGCCTACTTCAAATAACGCTTTACAACTACAGTAAATAAATATGATTATAAGACAAGGACTAGCTGAAAATGGTGATCAGTGTTGGTGTTTTGCAAACGCGGTAATAAATTTTCGAGTTTCACGGTTTGATGGCTATTTTTTGATAAGCTGAGTTTCTGAAGGAGGTATATGCTTCATTTAACAATTTAGCAATAAAGTTATATGCCTATTTTTAATTAAATTAAAAGATTAAATGTTACCAATGATTGCAACTATTCGATTAAGAAAATGTTAATCAACTCCACCCAATCAAATTATATGCCTGTTTCTTCATGAAATTAAAAGCAGATTAAATTCTGGCAATGCTTGCAACTATCTGATTAACCTTCTGTAATACTGTTAGTGTGACGGACCAGGATGAACCAAATCAAATTCGATTAGGAACCTGTTATTTTCCCGTCTTATATCTAAAAACTTCAAGCTTCAAAAGAAAGACTATGGGACTAATTTTATCGGTTGTTAAATATGAATGCCAAATTTTGTCTCTCATAAGGGAGAAACAAATTGGGGGGTTGGGAACAGGATGCTGATGAAAATATGTGGACGTAAGTAAGGAACAAGAGTGTGATGGAAAAAAATTACATAATTAAGAGCTTCGTTATTTTTTTCTTGAAGTAGCTCTAATATGATTAGGGTGATTAAGTCCAGAAAGATAAGACGGGCATGACACGTAGCATGCATGGCATAGAATATAGATAATAAATGCATTCAGAGAGTTGTAGTGAGAATATCTGAGGTAAAGTAACTACTTGGAAGATCTGAATGTGAATGGGAGCACAATATTAAAATATACATACGGCAAAGTTCCAATTATGCGACATTGTGCTTTATCCGAAACAGTCATCAGATGTGCTGCTTACAGTGTTTCATTTTTTAAACAATAGCTTTTGCGTTTTGCCATACATACTGTGTATTAAATGTTTCATTTAGTTGATTTAAAATCCATTGTTCAGCCTTTTTGCCCTTTGGCGCTACAGCCCCAATTTTGGCCTTGGCCGACCTCAATAAAATTCTCTGTTTCAGTTCGCTTATTACATCTTAGACATTCGGTAGGACTCCTTGGGCGGGTGATCAGCTTGTCGGAAAGCCTCTACCTGTACACAAACACAGAAAAACGCACATACACAAACACCAAACATCCATGCCCTGAGTGGGATTCTAACCCACGATTCCGACTTCCGAGCGAGCACAGTGCATGCCTTAGACAGCTTGGCTACCGTGACCGGCATTGATAAGCTTACTTAATTGAAATTTATTTCTCTATACAATAGTTCTGTACAATATTATGTTAGTGGCACTATAGAATAATTATTAATAAACCCGATCTCAAACTTACACTCAACTTCCACTAAATTTGCGGTTACTTTTGTCCTTCTCCGACACTGGTTTCCGTTAACCCGTCCCGTTTACGCCAGATAACAGTAACTCCACTATATTTCTAAAACCAGGAGATGTGAGACTTAGACTCGAATTAAATTGCTCAAAATAAAATTCTCTGGAGAGAACAATGAGCATCCCAGTCCTGTAAATGCAGGAAATTTCTTTACCATCTCGGCAACGGCAGACTTTTCAAGAAACAATGTAATAAGACGAGATTTTAAGAATTCAGTGCATTTCTTCTTCAAATATCTGTTACGATGCTAAACAGAGTTTAGTTTCTGAAATATCTACTTAGCCTGCGAATTAGGCCTACAGCAATAGGATAACAGCTTGATAGTGGTAGTGGTAGTCTTGTGGTGTTTGTGTGTGTGTGTGTGAAGCCGTGTAGTTCGGTAGAATTTCATTGTCGTTTCGAAGGAACGCACTGCCTTTATCTTCAGAGTAGGAGGTGTGGGACCCTGAACTCAAAGGTAACACCGGTAAATTTCCACCATACAACTGTATTGTACTGTATTATCTCTGGAGGTTGGCAACAAACGAGTATTCAGACCACTTCTGGGCCCACCGTGGGCACCCAATCTTGCTAGAACCCTTCAAAGAGCCGTGACCATAACGTGGAGCAGGGACGAATTAGGCTGTGGCCCTCCTATCTCCGGCTACCCGGCCTCACATCTCGCAAGAGAGTAGTCTTCAAGGAGCAGCTGATTTGCGGATTTGTGTAGTTATGCTACAAGCAGAATTAAATCTTTCTTACAAAAGTTTTCAAAACACCCCTTCTGTTTCTCAAATTTAATTCTACATAGACCTATTTCATTCGTTCATCAATGGCTATACAGCCCTGTCTTGGCTCCTGACCTCTTCTTCAGTTTCGTAATATCTTTTACACAGTCGGTAGGACTCCTTGGACAGGGGATCAGCCCGTCGCAAGACCTCTACCTACACAGGACAACACAAATACAGAACACACCCTCACACAAATATTCATGCTTTGATTTGGATTCGAACCCACGATCCCAGCGCTCGAACGAGCGAAGACAGTTCATGCCTTAAATCGCGCGGCCACTGATCGGCAAATGGTCTATTAACACTATGAGATATCATGGAAATCTTTTGTTACATGTACATCCACTGCTAGGCAACGTGTTGGTAAATACGTTCCCGCTAAGACAGATTCTTGGTGATTCAAGTTACGCAACAGTATATGAGGCTGTGTTTTCTATGTAGTCTGCGCCAAACAACAGTAGAATAATGGGGCTATGCAACCCGTTTCTAAGCAACGGCTCGCTGAACATATTTTCGCATAAGCAGTGACGTCAGTAACAACAGAGACGGTATTTTCCGTGGAGTCTGTGCGGAGTGCTTATAAGAGAAGTGAGTGCAGTGACAGAGTTAGTTCAGGGGCAGTTACCAGTCAGTCGTATGCTGGAGTGAGCCCAGAAGAGTTTTCGGTTAAGAGGTTCCAGACTGATTGAAGACGAAATAGCAAGAAGACTTCACAGTGAGCTGAAGTGCTAGTTTCTGGTTCAGATCCGTTGCTAGGAGACGACTAGTGAAGACAGACAACTCTAATGAGTGAACAATGGTAAACTGGAAATTGTGCAAATCAGTGATAGCACTGTATTAATTGTAATTAAGAGAGACAGTAACCGAAGTGCTAATAAATCCAATCGGCACGCATACCACCCTACACGTGACAATATGCTAATTCCTTTTCTGCTTCCATCTTCCAGATCAGACGTAAATGGCTGGCCTTTATAGATACATGTGACAATGTCAGTGAAGGAATGCATAAATCTGACATCTTTTCTTTGATATTTGAGCAAGCGACCTATTTAATGACGCTTTACCAACAAAAGTTGCGAGGAAGTTGCCGTGGATATTTAGGCCTACAACAAAAAATGAAATAAAGGTGTAGCTCTGTTTGCCCAATAAACATCGAATATTGATGACGTTTCGTTGGTTGAATTCCAACAAAATTTTGCCTTGCCTACAGGAAAGTTATAAAGATCAGTAAGTTAAATGTACGAGTATACATTAACCGTTATTTGTTCAGAGAAGAAGAAAAACTCAAAAGCAAAAATTCCACATTACTAAATGTTCAAGCAAATTGTGTATAGCCNTAGGTAAAACTTCTGGTTGCAGCCCGCATGGAAAAATCGTAGCCTACAGTGTTGATAGGCGAATAATGCACGTTAACTATTACTGACAGTCGTATAACAAGTGACAGATTAATTCGAAATATTTCACACAACTTAAACTTCAGAATCAAGATGCATGCTTAGAACAAATGTGGGCAACTAGGTACTGTTGGGCAGGATCCATGGTGAAGTGACGAGGGTCAAGACAGCCTTGCGAGATATCCGTTTCTGTCTTCAGGTGAGGGGAGAAGACACCTACTCTGGACCAATGGTTGAGGTTAGCTCCTTCAAAAGGACCCAACACAACAGGTGTCTTCCCCCTCAACTGAGAATGGAAACAGATCCAGTTTCCGAAAAGTTGTGTTCTCTAGCTTCTAGAATACCGGACGATTGATAAAGTCCAATAACCCAGTAATCCCGAGTGTTATACACCATTCTGAATCTATCAGACAGTGAGGCGGTTCTTTCTTGATGGTAACAAGGCTGGAGTGTGAAGCTAGTTACCCAACTTAGCCTAGTACCGCTAGCTTTACTTACGAACGTCTGTTTACTCGGGGCTTGGTCGTAGCGGGAAAACTTTAGTTTTATCTTTACCTTGCCGTTGTTGTTGCAAACGCAATGTGCGTGGTAAGACTACACCTCCCTGCAGACACCCGCCGTCTTCCGCCTGATGTTTCTAGTAACAAGCTGCCACTAATTGGACAACATTAAGCCTTGCCGGTACCCCAGAGTTGTTGAGTCAATCCTCCCGTTGTGCTGACCATTAATACCCCATGCCTCACTATACCAAGCTTTCAACGTGGTCAAGCTATCTTCATTCGCAATCAATGTGGAAAGAAATAGTCCTTGGCCCCAGTTACTTATAATCAACTTTTTTTCTTCCTACCTTCAATGTATTTGCAGATAGCTTGTCCTCCTTAATGGTTACCAGATGGCGCTATGCCAGTCAAACTTCAAATGCATTAGTTTTAAGTTATAAGCGGATGAGGGTACGTAGGTGTCCATTTTATTGCCACTGTTTGAAAGCTGCGTGTCTCTAGAGTTCATCAGAGCATTCTTCATTTAAAAGAATAATTACCTTCGGAAATGATAAATAAATTAATTAATTTGGCAGATAACAAACTGCACTCCATATGTCTGAAACAGGGGCTTACAGCTGTTCCGTGGTTCGAACCCTGTTTCCTATA